ATATATATATATGACTAGTCAGTGGCGCAAAAAGGGGGTATGCAGTATATGCGGCGCATAGGGGCGCCACACATGGGGGGGGGCCATTGTGCCAAAACTATTTTTGAAATTATCCTTACTAAAAGTTTCAAATAAAAAAAAATAAATAAATAAATATGTTTTGTTAAAAATGCTTTTTTTTTTTTTTTGCATTTTGTATGAGTATAATATTGTATTTTAATAAATAAAAATTGAGTTGCATACGTTGGCACACACATTTTAATTCAAAATCAACACAATAACATGCAGTCGCAGAGCCAAGTGTAAAGTGTTCATGTAAATGTAACTTTTTTTTTTTACAATTTTTATCAAAATAAAACTGTCAATTCATACATAGTTGGGCTGTTATAAGATTAATCTGAAATTTTTCTTTATTTATTATTAATTATTTAATTATTTTGCCTAAATAAGAGGGATCAAACAAAATGTATGTTTATGTAAGTACAGACCTATTTCACATAAACCGATATTTCAGATAAAATATTTGGATTAAAAATTCACCTATATAAATATTATATACTTGATTATAATGATTCTTAACCCTGTTAAAGTTGACACATGAACAAATTGTCCGAATATTTACATTTTTTAGAACTGAAATGTTTTTAATCCTTCTATCAAAATCCATTTTATACAATATACATGTTTTTATAAATTTATTATGTGTCATATTGATACATCAGGCCTTTTGGTAACTTTTTTGTACAAAACTATTTTATTTTAGTTACAAAACTTGAACCCGCATACCTCTCAGTATATGTGTAGTTGCTCCCCTGTGACTAGTATATGGTTTGTATACTAAACTTCTTGTAGTGTTCCTCTATAGTGCACAGATGTGTATAATATTTGATCATAGAATAAGCCAAATACAAGTTTTCCTGATTACACACACACACACACACACACACATTTACTGCCTGTTTCAAACATAACATTTCACTGTTTCTACATTTTACATTTCAACACTTAAGTACAAGCTTCCTTCTGTTTCTGTTTTATTAAAAATAAGACTTTGCCGATAAAAAAAAATACAAATGTTTCCCAATCTGGCTCATCATTTATAACATTTTTAATAATGCAACATATTAATACACGTACAACACTCACAATTAAATTAGTTGGTCTGGCATTATAATTTTTTATTATTTATGTATTATCACTATGGTTGGATGTTGAGAAAAATCTAACTTAAAGTATTAGGACATGTTTGTAAAATGTAAAATATGTTGCTCCAGATGCGTTTTAGAGAACAAATCCACTAGAGGGCGCTGTCTGCATTTTTTATAAATCTGAAATACTTTACTCAGGGTACGTTTTGGTTTCCCAGTGCTTAGTTGCGGGTGGAAGGGAGAGAAAGTCCTGGCTGCAGCCTGCATCTTGATGACATGCTGGACCAGTTCCACTACATAGTAGACTATCATCTACACCTTCCCCTACCCTAAACCCAACAGTCACAGTAGTATAGGTGTTACCTTAGTGAGCATTACTATGTCCACTATCTATTGGACCTGATCCCGAACGTCATCATGATACAGACTGCAGCGAGGACATCTTGGAAAGGGCATCTGCCACATAAAACATGCCAGAGTAATTGGGTTTTCATTCGGCTGTGGCGAGTGCTGATAAATCAGGGACAAACCATAGGAAAATGAATGACATATTCACAGTACCCAGTTCATGTCTCTTTATGATGAACGGAGCAATGACTGAGCACTAATGCAGACATTACTAACAGAGGCTTTGACAACTCTTACATTAACACAGATCAGCGGCTTTACACTGAGAGTGATGATTAGCTTTAGACATTAAACCCATCCCAACAACACAATACTGACAGCTGTCGGGCGCCAGGATATTGCAGTGGACCAAATGCACTTATTGATAAACACACACCAGACCAGCAGAAGAGACGAGTGAAGAAACATCACAGACATTAGTGAGGAGAGTTTGATATTGTGGACATCAGCAGTAAATGCACAGACACTGCAGGAGTTGAGTTGAGAGTTTAATGTTGAGGAATGAAGCAGTTTTGAACAGTTCCTCTATACAGTATGGCAGATCACTCAGTGTGTCTGTGCTTACACTAGTTACACACACTCATTCTGCAAATGCTCATTTCTTAGGAAGATTCAGAGGATCATCAAATTTTTTAGGAAACTGGACATCCGGCACAGTCAGTTTTCCTCCATTGCAGGGAAGATCTTGAAATATCCACACATGAGCACACTCATCTCCAGCAATAAACACCTGATCAGAGAGAGAGAGAGAAATCACAATGTTTAAAATGAAATGAAGTTTCATAAACTAATTTTGAGAGGAGCACGTGATATGATTGACTGCAGCTCGCCACTCATCTACACTCATTAGCCTCTTTCACACATACAGACCTTTCCGGAAAACTGCCGGCAATTTTCCGGAAAGCTTGTAAGTGTGAACAGGTCCTTTTTGAAAATACCGGTAAATTCGTTCTGGCTATTTTCCGGAAAGAGAAGTTGTAACATTACCGGCAATTTGCCGGAATGCTGCGCTGTGTGAATGCAGACGGAAGATTGGCGTAATAAGCGCGTGCACGTCTAGAACGTGCTGACGTGAGGCGTCTGCTTTAGCCAATCAGAACACTCAGACGCATTTACGTCCACGCGGTTTATGAGAATAAAAGCCTTTGAATATTTTTCCAGACACATTTAGCTGCTAGAAGTTAGTCAGATCACGTTTATATGTTCTTCTTAATACCAACTGTGTAAATAATCATCGATGAGATGCTTATGATAAGCCGTTGTTTGTTTACCTTCAAGCTTTGCGTGTGCCTGTGAAACAGCCTGTGAGTGCCAGCACACGCACATATTATGAACATCTCGACATGCGAAAGTGATCCTGCGAAAGTTGTTTACAATATTGATCATCCACAGAGTTTGTAATTTAGTCAAATGTTTACAAATACAAGCGCAGCCGTTTAAAGCTCATTTGTGGTGAATGATGTCAGAATTTACCGGTATTTTGGAGTGGATGTGTGAATGCTCTTTTCCGGAAAACTTCCGTAACTTCCTCGCCTGTGTGAACAGCGCTTTTTTGAATATACTGGTAAAGTCGTTCCGAAAATTTTCCGGATATTTACCGGTATCACTGTGTGAAAGGGGCTATTGGCTAGCCAATCGGATCGATCCAAACTCACTATAAGTAGCCTAGCTAAGATCTACTCCCTTATCTTCGTTTCCCGAAGAAACCCCCCATCCACCCCTTCTCCTCCTTTCCTCTTTTGCCGAGGGGAGCTCTCGAGAACACCTGACCTCGTACTCCCCTCACATGCTTTATGGACCTGGCGGGAGCCCTGGGTTCAACTATCTCCGAGCTCAGGGTTCTCTCCCGGGACAGCATGCCAAACCTGCTAACTTGCTAACAAGTTATCAAACAGTATCTAAGTGTGAACTCTTGAAAAGCACTTTAGCATCAGCAGCTGGACAGTTCAGCAGTTCATTTGCAATCTTTTACATTCTCACACATCAGAGACTTACAAGTGGTGCTCGCTGCAGAGCCATTTGAGGCGAGCTGAGCTCCAGCAAGGGGGAGCTTAAGCTTGAGCTCCACCTTTTTTGCACTTCTTCTACGAGTGATGTCACTGGGGGTAGGGTTAGGGGTGGGGTTGGTGTACGCATTAAAACAGCTTACAGGAGGAGGAGCGACAGCTCATGCTCCCCCTCGCTGGAGCTCAGCTCTGCTCAAATGGCTCTGCAGCGAGCACCCTCTCGAGACTTATTAGTCTTTCAATCAGGATTAGACCTGATTAGGACTCACAGTCGAATTGTTTAGGAAAGAAATTCAACTGTGTTGTGCTTACAATCCATAAAAATACAGACAAAAATACTCGCCTTGACCAAGTAGTTTGTTCCTGCTACAAGCTGAGATCTGAATGTGTGAGGAATGAAATCATCACAATTGACAGGAATCTTCGCCTGTATGGTTTCCTTAACCTGAATGAACGGATAAATAAGATCATTAAAGAAATGCTTCACAGTAAAAATGTTTATTAACATTAGTATTATCTGCATTAGTAAACATTATTGTTAATAGTTAGTTCATGCAGTAAAACGACCGCTTAGAGATGTGTTGAAGGAATTTTGAATAAAGTGTAAATTTACATGCAAAAAGTTATTAAAAGTACAAATTTATACACTTTAACAAAAACAATGAAACGTAAATATAAGAAAATCTTTGATAAATCAATAAATGTTTACTGCCAATAACAAAAAAAGAGAAGTGATTTAGCATCTCGTACCTGCAGGCAGATTTTTAGCACCTCTAGGGTGACCGGCGCCTCGTTTGACCATGCTCCTGCCTTTGCCTCTGACATTGTTGATGATTGATCGATGATAAGAGGTGCAGTTTTCAGTCAATCTGACCAACAGGGTGATTTTACTATGCTTTTAAAGCTATCAAGATCACATGACTTGAAGAATTTTGGGCGTTGGGCTGAATTTTGCAACATAGGTTCTTTAGAAATACTTGCTTCAGCTAGATTATTATGAAACTGCAACACATGTTTGACTGTAGTTTCTAGGTGAAATGAGCACTAGGGGGCAGTGTGACGACACCGACTTTGGTTTCTTTTCAATCTAATGATATTAATACGCGATATCACATGAGTAGCAGTGCTTTGTAGCATGCTTTGGCACAAACTCAATACAGAAACACCAACTGACCCAGCCGAGGCTCGAACCAGCTACCTTCTTGCTGTGAGGTAATAGCACTGCCTACTGCGCCACTTCGCATTTTTATTATATTATATTATATTATATTATATTATATTATATTATATTATATTATATTATATTATATTATATTA